GCAATTTGAATGATGCGCCGAGCCACGGTGCATGCAAGACAAAAGAATGATGCAAACATGCGGGCATAAGGTATGCCAATCAAAACGTGCCCTAAACTAACCATTGAAAGTGGTTAAGTAAAAGGAAGAAAGACGTGGGGTTGGAAGACATGCACACACACATGCATGCTTATTACAACATTGCGCCCTCTCGAAGGAGTGCCCGAATAAATAAGCTAAGCAACACTAAGCTCAGCTAATTATTACAAACCAACTAATTAACTTGTTTAAGCTAATTAATTACAAACCGAATTGAATAACTAGCTAGCTAAGCTAATTAAAATATTACAAAACAGATTAAACTAATTAATTATAATACTTGTATTAATTAGCTACAACTGACTAATAAAGCAATTAAGTGGCCTCGCGCGCGAGGGTGACATGCATGCTCGGTTGGCTTCCTCCTGAAAATCCATCGCCTTACCATTGGTTGCCTCTGTTTGCACTCGCATGGATCTCTGAAAATTGCACCAACTTCCAGACTGCCTCTGCTCCAAAACAGAAACACTTTTCCACAAAAAATTGATTGGTGGCCGGTCAGCCGCAAAAAGTGGCTATCGACCACTTTAATTGGCCAGTCGGCTAGTCTAAGTGGCTGGTTGGCTACTTTAAGTGGCTGGTCGGCCACCCCTTTTTCCAGACCTCTGTTTTTGCTGCAACAGAGAGCAACAGAGGCAAAACAGTGCATTTTTCAAGGAATGTGGGTACTACCAAACTCCTTATCATTTCTCAAGCTCAAAGGAGTATGGCACTTAGCTCTCATGCCATCAGCCAAGCATTTTCAATGCGTGATGGCCAAAGAGTCAAGCTTGTATAAAGTCAATGAATGCACAAACAAGACCTAAAGGACAACCACCCTATCATGCATGATCAAGGGTGACAGCGATCGAGAAATGTGACACGTTTCATCACTTTGAGTATAAAACGTCTCACATTTCTCGTCTTTGGATTAACGTCCGATCCAAACACATGCAATGCAATACAAACATGCTTATCTTGCTCAAGTTTTACTTGTCATGTTTTGTATACACATTTTACATTACCGATTAGTCCTTTAACTGGTTAAGTCCAAAGTGAAAGTCCTCTACTTGGAAAGAAGGCTTAAGCCACAAGAGCCTTGAGCATGAAAGAGGTCTCATGCTGTTGGTTAGGAGGAATCCTCAAGAGAGGATTAAAACCATTAAGCATGAGAGCCTCAATTCCACACTCAAGCCAACAAGAGGCTTAAGGCCACTTTTAAAACAAATTGTAAAGTGAAGAATAGAGGGAGGTTGCTGTTAGGACCCAAACCCGCCCCTACAGGTTTAGCGTCATGACCGGCCAGTAATCATAGATTACCTACTGCCTCCATACAAATGAGTCTTAAACATCAGGTACAGGGCTTAGCGGAAGTCTAAAATGTTATAGTATTCATCCATTGAACTGTGCAATTATGAAGAGAGCAAATATAATAAGCAAGGTATGATTCAAAATATACAACCAACATGGGTACAAGCCAGATAGTATAAGTGCAATTCATGTTTTAGAAAACGTAACCCCAAGTATATACACAAATACAAAGCCAACAACTTCACAAAAAGGGGTTAGACAAGCATGGCTCCTCTCGAGCCTGAGTACTTGACTCGGAGTTCTACAAAAGGTTGACCTGGGGTGGACCTAAGGCTATCTAACTCTGATGTTCGGTACGCCCACCTATAATTACATACATAAATAAATAGTCAGCTAGAGCCCAATGAGTAATAACAAAATTAAGAGGTTATATGAATGAAGTTCGACAATAATACGAATAACAAATTTTAACATCATTATCCATTCAAACTATCGTGCATTACATTCAGTAGAATGATAATGTTGCTATGGCAATAGAACCTCGAAGGTTAATCAAAATATCATATACAATTATCCAATGGGCCACGGTATTAATCTCCCCTGGGCAAGGGTCAATGGGCCATAGTATTAATCTCCCCCAGGCAAGGGACAATATGCCCTGGTATTAATCTCCCCCAGGCAAGGGTCAATATGCCCTGGTATTAATCTCCCCCAGGCAAGGGTCAATATTAATGCCTTGAATACATTTTCAAAAGGAACTTCATTCATTCGTAAGAAATTAAAGTTTCAATGAACCATCAATCATTCATATATCAATTCGATAGCAATAACGTTTTCTAAAATAAGTATAACTGGAACATATCTTTATAGCGTTATTACTCACAGTGGTTTGCGGTGACACTTAGCCTCGATGTCCACCTAGTGAAGCTCATGACAAAGTACAAATGAAATTCTATTTTATTTTAATTCAATTCTCTTTTTGTGCGTCTCTAACTTATTGCATGATATATGCGTCCAAAAAGGTGCCTAAGAATGGTAGGAATGGCATGAGAATGCAAGTATGCACTTAAAAGAGTTGGTAAAATTTTGCTGAAAACAAGGTCTCTGCTCGAGCGCAACTTCCTACGTGCGAGCGGGGGTTCAAAAACAAGGTGGTTGCTTGGGCGTGACATCTCTCGCTCGAGCGGTCTGTAAAAGTACTGGATATATGAAATTCCCACTCGACTGTCGCTCGAGCGGAAGACTGAAAGAAAAGGGGTCCTCGCTCGAGCGCCACTTTGGTTGCTCGAGAGGACTGTAAAATTTTGGAAACTTCTGGGAGCTCGAATTCCACGCTCAAGTGTGGAATTCTCTGCTCGAGCGAACAACGTGAATTTTGGAATTTCTAGAACGGCAATTGAAGATCAAGCATGCTATTCAAAGCCTCAAATCTTATATTTTTGATACAAAAACATGGAGAATCACTATATAACATGAAAACACTTCCATTTGAAACCATTTACTCAAAATCATGGCAATTCTCGACCATTAACTTCAATTTCAAGTTGTAAAATATTGTTTAGTTCAAATTGGATGCATATCTCTTCAAAACATATTCAAAACATGATCAAGTGGTATGAGAAGCATGAAAAGATGGAGGATATTCCAAATTAAGGTAGAAATGTGCCATGCATGTAGGATTTCCATGAATTCAACTCAAATTATGCATGCATGTGTGAAATTCAACTTCATCCTTCCATTTCTTGAAATTCTTAGCTCCTTATCTTCAATGACATGCCAAAGAACACAAAAATGAGATGAACTCATCGTCTTTATGCCATAACTACATGAATGAATGTTGAGTGTCATACCTGGTGTTGAATTCAAGTATGTTATGGCTCCAATCTTTGAGTCTCCCTTCAATCCTCAATAAATCACCTCTTTCTCTGTCTAAATGTTGAACTCTCCTCTCCTCCCTCTTAATTCTCAGCTGATTTGTGCACACCAAATGAGCTCATAAGCTTAGCTAGAGCCTTATATATGATGTGATTAAGTTAGCCTAATTAATGGTGATTAGGATTAATCAATTAGGTGTAATTCTAACTAATTCAATCAGTTTATTCTAATTATTTTGATCCAAATCAAATTTCAATTGAAGTTTCCATAAAATTCTAAATATTCCAATTAGCCTATTGGGCTAGTCAATTTCTACTTCTGAAGTATCTAGGCTCTCAATATCCGACTCTAAGTTATCAATTTATACAAACATTCCATGTATCAACAGGAAATTATAGAATCAAACATGTAATCACACAATCAAGCACATAATCATGTAATTAAACTCATTTAAATAACATAATGTACTAGTTTGGAGGTCGGGGTCGTCACAGTCTCTCCCCCTTAGAAAGTTTGGTCCTCTAAACTGAGGTTACCATCTGACGGAAATAAATGCGGATATTATTGCCGCATCTCTTCCTCTTTCTCCCAAGTGTCGTCCTTCCCATAATGTTCTTTCCACTCAACCTTCACTATAGGGATAGTTTTGTTTCTCAGTTGCTTTACTTGCCGATCAATGATTTGCACGGGCCATTCTTCATACATCATATCCTTATCTAGAGCAATCCGGTGGTAATCGATCCCATGGAATGGATCTCAGAGATATCCCCGAAGCATGGATACATGAAAAATGTTATGCACTTGTTCCATTCCTGGTGGCAAGGCAATACGATAAGCTACAGGACCCAACCTCTCAAGAATCTGAAACGGTCCAATGTAGCGAGGAGTCAATTTTCCCTTTTTACCAAATCTCATATGCCCCTTCATTGGGGTCACCTTCATGAATACATGATCTCCCACCTCGTACTGCAAGTCCCTTCTTCACTGATTTGCATGACTTTTCCTTCAACTTTGTGCAGTTTTGAGCCTTTGCTGGATGATTTTGATCTTCTCGGTTGTTTCCTGCACTAGTTCAGTGCCATAAATAGCTCTATCACCAATCTCTGTCCAACAGATTGGCGATCTACACTTTCTTCCATATAGCGCCTCATATGGTGCCATATCGATACTCGCGTGAAAACTGTTATTATAAGCAAATTCGACTAGTGGCAAATGAGTTTCCCAACTCCCCTGGAAATCCAATACACACATATGGAGCATGTCCTCTAAGGTTTGAACAGTTCTCTCGGTTTGCCCATCGGTTTGTGGATGAAACGCTATTGCCTCCTGTTCCCATCGGTTTGTGAATAGTAACAGCACTCCTTGATCTGTGAGTAAACAGGCAAGATTCCCCACATTCTTTCTACTAAGTGCATCCGCTACAGTATTAGCTTTGCTCGGATGGCAGTGAATCTATAGGTCATAATCTTTGATTAACTCAAGCCATCGCCTTTGACGCATGTTCAACTCCTTCTGTGTGAAAAAGTATTTCAGACTCTTATGATCTGTATATACTTCACATTTGACCCCATACAAATAGTATCGCCATATCTTTAATGCAAAGACAACTGCAGCAAGTTCCAAGTTATGTGTAGGGTAATTCTTTTCATGTGGTCTCAATTGTCGAGAGGCATACGTAATAACCTTGCCATTCTGCATTAAAACACAACCCAAGCCCTTATAGAATGCATCACTAAAAATCACAAAATTTTCGGTACCTGAGGGAATAGTGAGGATTGGGGCTGTAGTCAGTCTTGTCTTCAACTCCTGAAAAGCAATTTCTCTTTGATCCATCCACTCAAATAGTTCGCCTTTTCGAGTGAACTGAGTCAATGGCACAACAATTTTTTAGAACTCTTTAACGAATCTTCGGTAGTACCCTGCCAATCCCATAAAACTACGAACTTCGGATACATTAGTTGGAGTAGGCTAGTTAATAATAGCTTCAATTTTATGAGGATCCATAGATATTCCATCCTTATTAATAATGTGTCGCAAAAAAGCAATTTCATCAAGCCGAAATTCACACTTTTTAAATTTCCCATACAACTGTTTTTCTCTAAGTGATTGAAGAGTCAGTTTCAAATGTCGTTCATGCTCCATTTTGCTTGTCGAATAGATCAAGATGTCATCAATGAATACCACAACAAAGTCTTCTAGGAAAGGTTTGAAAATTCTATTCATTAAATCCATAAATGCTGCAGGCGCATTTGTAACTCCAAATGGCATGACTAAAAACTCATAATGTCCATACCTGGCCTAGAAGGCAGTCTTTTCAACATCCTCAGCTTTAACATTCAATTGATGATATCCCGATCTCAAATGAATTTTTGAAAATATCTATGCCCCCTGCAACTGGTCAAACAGATCGTCAATACGCGGCAAAGGGTATTTGTTTTTCACTGTTACCTTCTTGGGCTCTCGGTAATCAATGCATAGTCGAAGAGTGCCATCTTTCTTTTTAACAAAAAGTACTAGTGCGCCCCATGGGGATGTACTTGGTCTGATAAATCCTTTATCAAGCAATTCTTGCAACTGAACTTTCAATTCTTTCATTTCAGTAGTAGACATGAGACAAGGAGTTTTAGAAATTGGTCGAGTTCCCGGTATTACATCAATTGTGAATTCGATTTCTCTATCAACAAGTTGACCAGGTAATTCGTCCGGAAAAACATCAGGAAAATCCCTCACCACTGGTATATTGTCTAAAGTAATATCTACTGTGGGTTCGGTTATCACACTACACAAATACCGTTGACAACCCTTATTCATTAGTTTTCAAGCTTTCATGGCAGACATAAGGTTGGTGGTGAGACTACCCCTTTCCCTCAAAATAGAATTCATCTTGCTCGGGAGGTCTAAACATTACTCGTTTCGAGGCACAATCAATAGTTGCATAATATTTAGTTAGCCAATCCATACCCAGAAGAACATCAAAATGTCCCATGTCTAGAGGTATTTAATCAGCATACAAAGTAGCATTCCCGAGAAATAATTCACATGCAGTAAATATAGTTGAACATAGCATAGATCCCCCTGTAGGTGATGCAAGACATAGTATATAATTCAATGTTTCCATAGGTCTATTCCAAGTTTCAGCAAAAGCCATAGAAATGAACGAATGCATAGACCCGTAATCAATTAAGGTATAAGTAGGTTTACCACAAATCGAGATTATACCTGACACCACCGCCTCAGTATTTTGAGTATCCCCCGGGACCAGTGCAAAAACCCTTCCTTGCCTTTGTTCACTCCTTGTGGTAGATGGTGTTGTGGCCGGTTTCGTCGTGGGTGCGGATCCAATTGAGCTTGTGGCTCCTCGGTTGCCATTCGGTCGTGATTTTGTGCAATCCTTTGCCATATGTCCTATCTTCCCACATTGGTAACAAGCCTCCATCATGCGATAGCAGACACCTCCATGTTTCTTTTCGCATGTAGTACAAGCTGGTGTTGAGTTAACACTTTGGCTTGAACCGGAATTACCAGAACTCCCCGGCTTAAACTTCTTACTCATTGATGTGGTCCCTTTGTTAAAATTCTGTTTTTTGTCCTTCCATTCAAAGTTTTGCTTACGGTTAGTCACATTCCTTTCTGCTATTAGTGCCCTGTCAAGTACATCCACATACGTTGGCAATTTAAGTACATTAATTTTATCTACAATTGGGTCACGCAAACCTCCCACAAACTGTCTAGCCTTCTTGTAATCCGCATCCACCATGTGGGGCGCAAAATGGGCTAATTCTGTGAACTGAGCCTCATACTCAGCAATTGATTTGCTTCCTTGCTTTAGTTCCATAAATTCAACCACTTTTCTATCCTGCACACATTGTGGAAAATATTTTTCATAGAAGATTTCCAGAAAATGAGTCCAAGTAACATCCTTGTTATCGTTTCAGACCAACATCCACCAACGCCTTGCATCATCTTCCAATGTGAATGTAGCTAGTTGGACCCTCTGGGCTTCAGTACATGGGAACACTTCAAACAATTTCTCAATTCCCAATACCTAAGCTTCTGCCTTCAATGGTTCAATTCCACCATGAAACACTGGTGGCTTCATCTTTTTAAATTCTCTAGTCAAGGCAACAATACAGGTCTCAGGCTAACAACCTGGAGCTGGAGGTGGTGCAGGCATTTGAGGTGGGAGAGGTGGTTGTTGTTGTTATTGCTGCCATTGCTGTTGTTGTCTTATGGCTTCAACCATGTCTTGCATCATTTGTTCCATTCTATACAGTCTTGAGGAGGTTGCCTCCTCTATTTCATCACCTCTAGTTCTCACCATTTTCTATATGAAGCTTCGTATTATAACAAGCATGATACACATATACACACATAGTCATGTACGCAATTGCATATATAATCACAAGTTATCTTACTTACCATATCAATGCACATGAATGCATTCCTGAAGTTTCTTATAGACCCTCTATAGCTCAACGGATAAATGAGTGAGGCATAACTCGTGCTCTGATACCACTCTGTCAGGACCCAAACCTACCTCTATAGGTTTAGCATCATGACCGGCCAGTAATCATAGATTACCTATGGCCTCCATACAAATGAGTCATAAACAAACGGTCTAGGGCTTAGCGGAAGTCTAAAATGTTATAGTATTCATCCATTGAATTGTGCAATTATGAAGAGAGCAAATATAATAAGCAAGGTATGATTCAAAATATACAACCAACATGGGTACAAGCCAGATAGTATAAGTGCAATTCATGTTTTAGAAAACGTAACCCCAAGTATATACACAAATACAAAGCCATCAACCTCACAAAAAGGGGTTAGACAAGCATGGCTCCTCTCGAGCCTGAGTACTTGACTCGGAGTTCTACAAAAGGCTGACCAGGGGTGGACCTGAGGTTATCTAACTCTGATGTTCGGTATGGCCACCTACAATTACATACATAAATAAATAGTGAGCTAGAGCCCGCTGAGTAATAACAAAATAAAGAGGTTATATGAATAAAGTTCGACAATAATACAAATAACAAATTTTAACATCATTATCCATTCAAACTATCATGCATTACATTCGGTAAAATGATAATGTTGCTATGGCAATAGAACCTCGAAGGTCAATCAAAATATCATATACAATTATCCAATGGGCCACGGTATTAATCTCCCCTGGGCAAGGGCCAACGGGCCATGGTATTAATCTCCCCCAGGCAAAGGTTAATATGCCCTGGTATTAATCTCCCCCAGGAAAGGGTCAATATGCCCTGGTATTAATCTCTCCTAAGCAAGGGTCAATATGCCTTGGTATTAATCTCGCCCAGGCAAGGGTCAATATTTATGCCATGAATACATTTTCAAAAGGGAACTTCATTCATTCGTAAGAAATTAATGTTTCAATGAACCCTCAATCATTCATATATCAATTCGATAGCAATAATGTTTTCTAAAATAAATATAACTGGAACATGTCTTTGTAGCGTTATTACTCACAGTTGTTCGCGGTGACACTTAGCCTCAACGTCCACCTAGTGAAGCACATGACAAAGTACAAATGAAATTCCATTTTATTTTAATTCAATTCTCTTCTGTGCGTCTCTAACTTATTGCATGATATATGAGTCCAAAAAGGTGCCTAAGAATGCTAGGAATGGCATGAGAATGCAAGTATACACTTAAAAGAGTTGGTAAAATTTTGCTGAAAACAGGGTCTCCGCTCGAGCGCAACTTCCTACGCTCGAGGGGGGTTCAAAAACAAGGGTGGTCGCTCGAGCATGACATCCCTCGCTCGAGCGGTCTATAAAAGTACTGGATATATGAAATTCCCACTCAACTGTCGCTCGAGCGGAAGACTGAAAGAAAAGAGGTCGTTGCTTGAGTGCCACTTTGGTCGCTCGAGTGAACTGTAAAATTTTGGAAACTTCTGGGAGCTCGAATTCCACGCTTTCTCCGCTCGAGCGGACAACACGAATTCTGGAATTTCCATAACGGCAATTGAAGATCAAGCATGGTATTGAAATCCTCAAATCTTGCATTTTTTATACAAAAACATGGAGAATCACTATATAACGTGAAAACACTTCCATTTGAAACCATTTATTCAAAATCATGGAAATTCTCGACCATTGACTTCAATTTCAAGTTGTAAAATAATGTTTAGTTCAAATTGGATGCATATCTCTTCAAAGCATATTCAAAACATGATCAAGTGGTATGAGAAGCATGAAAACATGGAGAATTCTCCAAATTAAGGTAGAAATGTGCCATGCATGTAGGATTTCCATGAATTCAACTCAAATTATGCATGCATGTGTGCAATTCAACTTCATCCTTCCCTTTCTTGAAATTCTTAGCTCCTTATCTTCAATGACATGCCAAAGAACACAAAAATGAGAAGAACTCATCGTCTTTATGCCATAACTACATGAATGAATGTTGAGTGTCATACCTGGTGTTGAATTCAAGTATGTTATGGCTCCAATCTTTGAGTCTCCCTTCAATCCTCTATAAATCACCTCTTTCTCTGTCTAAATGTTGAACTCTCCTCTCCTCTCTCTTAATTCTCAGCTGATTTGTGTACACCAAATGAGCTCATAAGCTTAGCTAGAGCCTTATATATGATGTAATTCAGTTAGCCTAATTAATGGTGATTAGGATTAATCAATTAGGCTTAATTCTAACTAATTCAATCAGTTTATTCTAATTATTTTGATCCAAATCAAATTTCAATTGAAGTCTCCATAAAATTCTAAATATTCCAATTAGCTTATTAGGCTAGTCAATTTCTGCTTCTGAAGTCATCTAGGCACTCAATTTCCAACTCTAAGTTATCAATTTATACAAACATTCCATATATCAACAGGAAATTATAGAATCACACAATCAAGCACATAATCATGTAATTAAACTCATTTAAATAATATAACGTACTAGTTTGGAGGTCGCGGTCGTCACAGTTGCAGACTTTTTTAGTGCTGATATGACATGCAAAAGGACAATAAATCAAGCAAGCAACACATGCAAGACATGCTAAGAGCCAAAAGCATCAAAACTAGTGAAGTGCACAACACTATAAGCATGCAACACTAGGTTCAATTGACCAAAGCAGCTTTGGGCAGAGTTAAAACATGCCAAAATAGTGGCTAAAACATGCTAAGATGGAAACAAAAGGCAAGAAAAACATGCTCACATGTTAGGCTACAAACAAGGCTCAAGGCACAACTCTCAAAAACAATAAAAGAATGAAATAAGTGAGAATGTGGCAGAGTTATATGCACTGAAATCACATGTAAAATGGAGCTACAACATGCAATCAACACATGCACAACATGTTAGAGGCCTTAAAACACTAAGCTAGTGAAGGCATTTGCACTACAACCATGCAATACAAGGCTCATATGATCAAGACAGCTCGAAACAGAGCTAAATCATGCCAAATCAGTAGCTAAAAGATGCTCACATGTTAGGCTATCTACACTTGCAAATAAGACACAAGGAGGGGAGGCCACCCCCTCCTATTTTGGACCTCAAAACCAAGTTTCTACCACTGAAATTCCCCTGGAATTCAGTGGTTAAAATGCCAAAAAAAGGTTGTTTTAAAAGCTTGAAAAATGGCACAACACTTTAGCAAACAAGCTACAAAAGGGGTGGACCACCCCTAACTCCAAAACAAACCTCAAACCACCATTTTAAACCACAAAAACAGAAATTTTAGAGGTTAAAACCAACCTCAAAATAGCATGCAAAGGTGGCCAAACAAGTAACTAAAACTAAGCTTAAATGAGGTAAGCTTTATACCTTTGAAGCATAACACTAAAACAACAACAATTCTGAGCTAAAGCCACTCTTAAGAAGTCAAACTAGGCCTCCAAGAACCTCAGCTCCAAGATGAAGGTGCTTGGTTAAGGGTCCTAGAACAAAAGTGCAGAGAATTCTCACTTTCAAGCACAAAATAGGGAGAGAGAGAGAATTCCAGAGAGAGAGAGAGAGAGAGAGAGAGAGAGAGAGAGGAAATTTGCTCACAAATTTTTGTAACCCCTCAAATGGGGGAGAGACCCCCATTATATAGAAATGCAAGCCGAAAGCTTGCATTCATTCCTCCATACATGTGTATGGAGATGGCAATTAGTGATCAGCAGTTGGCACAGCCGGCAAAGAAAATATCTGAAAAATGAGAAAAATGGCCGTCGGCCACTTTAGGTGGCCGGCCGGCCACCTCTCCTAGCCGACCGACCACTTCAAGTGGTCGACCAAGGGGAAAGTGGCCGACAAGTGCCAAAAGTGGCCGACAAGGCCCTTCCCCTGTCCAGACAAGAGGCACCAAGGTTTGGTCCAAAAACAAGCACAAACAACGAGGGTTTAGAGGCTCAAAGACAAGGCATTCCGCCGAGAACTTCGGGCACCCAAAACGAGCACAAACATGCACAATCATTGAGTGCACAAACGATGACGTCTGAGTTTTAAGGTCGGTCAAAAATGGGGTGTCTACAGTTGCCCCTCTTTGATAGAACTTGAAAGTCATGAAATGACGAGAGTGAATGTCAAAGCCCAGAGACGACCCAGTTTTGACAAGGCCGAAGACTCAAACAAACAAGCAATCAAAACAAAGAATGCGCCCGCAGGCTGCATACGTATCCCTTTACAAGGAATCAAACCAACGTAGTTCTGAGGCAAGATGCAAATGCTATGCACAATGTAGAATATAACTTATGATCATGCAATGAGGGCTGTAATGAGACATCTAGATGCAAATGTTATGCAAAGAAATGCTACAGCAAACTTGTACATAAGCAAGTTAACACGAACCAAACCATATTTCATGTAGAAATGATGTAA